TGTGTTAGATCAAAATTTTAAAATACAATAAAGTCGGAGTAATGACGCATGATGCCTACACCCTCGATGTCATGCTCAACATGCCACGTGATGTCCTTAGTTATGACGTTCGATGCATACAATCTTTGTAACTATAGGATAAGTGAAAAGTAGTGCATTTTTTTAAAATAAAACATCTTTTGCTTGTATTGATCCCATCTTGGACTTCAATATCAAAGATGGGAATAGAACTTACAACCGGTTAATTCACTTGTCTTTATCTCAATAGTCATGCATCCATTGTTACAATAGTAGATCTTTTCAATTGGTTAATCCATCTTGTTCACCAACTTTTTTCTACCGTAAAAGTCCTCTATCATATGGTCATCACTAGGCATCAAATCCTTCATTAGCTCACATAAATCATCCTAACACTTATAAAAAAAAATAGTGTTCCAACTTAACATACGAGCCATTATAGATATGTATGATTGATTTTAATATTCGAGCCAAATCTCTTTATCGATACATTCAACATGTCATAAAAAGCTTACGCGTTAGGATTTGGCACCTCGTCGGTATTAGACGAATTGAATGATGGATTAATTACATCCATCACTATTGTTTGATATGCATTGGGGGATTCATTAAAAATTCATTTACCTACATCATAATTTTTTGACTCAAAATAATTACTCGATTTAATTTCTTTATAATGTATCCACTCATAATATTCATACACAAAACTCGTATTTCACCAAATGATATTTAACCATGTCAATCTCTTCATATCTATGGTTTTGACACTTATGACAATTACAAAGACATCTTATCTTACTCTCGTACATACATTTAGGATGACTAACGACAAATGCGATAAATTCTTCAATCCCATTTACAAAATTCTAATTTAAAATTCCATTAGTAATTCTAAAGTCTATCCATGCAAGATTCGACATCATTTTTTCTTCTACATATCTAAGACATACATAATTACTTAATTATCACTTTTTCTAAAAATCTAACAAAATTTCAACGAGTATTCCTTCTAAATTGGACATTTTCTAATTACCGGACACTCCACTTGTACAAAAAATAGCACATTCAAAATACATAATACATGCACCAAACATGCATGATAGGCAAAATTAGTGAAAACAATTTGAATAGCAGCTTGGACTGAAATGACTTCAATAATTATGATTTTCAAACATAAGGAGGTAAACAAAGCAATATAGACAAAATCGAAAAAATGATCCAAAATAGGGCTCGAACGGACATGATTTCAAGCATCATGATTTTAATCAAAACAAAAACAAGCAAACATTGGCATAACTTGCAAAATTCACATATTCAATTAGTCATACAAACATCAAGCAACGATCAATCTATTAATTGATAGCACAAACAAACATAATCAAGTAATTAAATCAATCAATTTGTACATACTAAGACCGACACTTGCCTCAAATAATCCATTTAAATTAAAACTCAATCCTTATCCTCCTAGCTTCATCGTAGAGCATTGATGCCATCTTATTTTTCCTCAATTCCTAGGGGTCTCCGACCCTTCAAGTTTGATACGCTATGACATATCTCAAGCATACTTCAACAATCATCAATAAAATAAATTCAATTTCAAATGGCATAATTAACTTAAAAAATTCTATGACATAAATTAAAAATTAGGGTTTCAAAAACTCACCTAGTGAGTTAGAGTGGCTAGAAAGTTCATATGGTGGTTGGAACATGGTCGCGGTGGTTCTTGGCAATGATGAAGTGGTTAAAGTGACTACCAAGCAATTCTACGGATCGTCATAGGGACTCGCTTAGTTGGAACAAATGTTTATGAATAATTAATATCACAATTCATACCACTAAAGATTCATCTTTATCAAAAAAAAATTTGACCAAAAAATAATTTATCAATTTTAAAATCTTAAGTTCAAACAATCTTATAATATGTCAATTTTAAAATAACATCCTATTTTCTTTCTAATAACTTAATTATCAAATTGAATATCTTTATTTTTAATCATTGTAACACCAATGTAAACTAAAATCCATCAAATATCAACATGAATAAGGATCCATCAATCAATTATATTATAAATTACAAACTCAAAATTTTATCATGTTTCATCAACTACCAAACCTAGTTAATTCAAAACAATTCCAATAAAAAAGAAAACATACTCAATTAAATTTAAAATAACATAAGTTTGAGTTTCCTAGCATATTTACTAACAATTAAAAAATTTATATATGAATAATTAATATCAAAATTCATATAACAACTAAGTATTTATCTATATGAAAAAACAATTTGACCAAAAAATAATTTATCAATTTTAAAATCCTAAGTTCAACTAATCTTATATTATGTCAATTTTAAAATAACACTATCTTAATTTCAAAATTTAGCATCCTATTTTCTTTTCAATGAATTAATTATCAAATTCAAAACCTTTATTTTCATCATTGTAACACCAATTAATTATAAGAATCAAACCTAATTATCAACAACCAAACCAAATTAATTCAAAATAATTCCAATAAAAAAAAACTGAATTAGATTTTAAATAACATAATTTTGAGTTTTCTAACATATTTACTAACAATTAACGCATGTAAATATCAATAACAAATCAAATAGATAAGAGAAAAGGAGAGAAACTTACCTTTTTTGGAGAGAAAGAAGTTGTCACCGGTAAAAGACGGGATATAGTGGGTCAATCGGCGGGAGTCGTTAGTAGAGAAGGAGGGGAAGAGTTGCAGCAACGGCTTAAGGATGGAGGAAAGGAAAATGGAGGAAGAAGAAGGATTCCGTAAGATTTAGAGATTTTTTTAACGACGGATGGGATTCCATCGCTAACATTAAGGGTTAATCGCTGTTTGATTTTTAGAATTACACCAATTGTTTCTACAATCAATGACTGGAATGGTTCCTCTATCGCTAACAATAAATTTTCATCACTCGTTTGATTTTTAAAATTGCTTCAACTTCTTATAATCAACGACGAACACAATTCCATCATTGAATTTTTTGCTTCTTTTCATTAAATAATCTCCCCATATCTAGTTCAAAATTGGTGAGAGACAAAACTCTATCCATCGTTAATTTTGTCACAACTTAGATGGTATTTCGTCATTTGAATTAATCATAAAAATCTACAACTTAATTCAACAACTGAAGTATTCTATTGCTAATATCCATTGTAATTTATTTGGTATTCTGTTGCTACATTAACCTCTAAAAATTTATCACTTAATTTTACGACAATAATTTTCGTCACTCGAATGTCTATCATTAATTTGTCGGTAGTCCGTTATTATTAGTCCAAAATGTCATAGGATTGATGACGAGTCATTATTGATTCGCCAATCTGTCATTGTTTGCCAATAACTTTATGCCCGTCTTTGATTTTCGTCCCTACTTTGTTGTTTTTTAGTAGTGAAAGTAAATAATTTTTCAGTAAATTTATGTGTTAGGAAACTCGCAAGATGATAAAGAATTGGACTACCATAGAAATGTATAAAACTAAAAGAATCACCAATAGTTGAAACTCAACCTTTCCTATATAGCTAAGAGTTAGTAACTCTAAAGATTTAATGAGAAAAATAAGTTATTTATATGTGATTGTGGGTAAACACTAGGACACTTAGTTCAAACAGTGTTTACTAGTACTGTTTGAGGATTAATATTGAGCTCTTAATGAAGTTATGATTCAGAAAAGAATTGTGCATGCCAGTACTTATGCTATAGAGTAGACGAAATTTCACATCTATTAACTTAAGGAGTAGTGCTGTTCACAAAAGCGGATATAACTTTTGTAAATGTTCATGAGACCAAGAGGACGCACATGATCATAATAATGCTCAAACATAATAGGTTTATATGAGTAACACTCCAGTCTGAACGTATTAAATTATGATTTAAAATTGTATAAGTACTATTAATAATTAAAGTACTTACTATTTTAGCATAACTTGAACGTTTAAAATTAGTAAGTACCTTAAGAATTAAACTATGCAGATTAGAATTTATAACCTAAGTGGGGAAGGTTGGAAAATAAGATTTCGAGCTTGTAAAACTAATGAAATAAGGAATGAGAGGGAATGGTCCCTCAGATGTTTTTATTTTTCAGAACTTGTTTAAGAACTTCCTTTTTAAAAAAATAATAATAAAAGAGTTGATTTGGAGGTCAACTAACTTTATATGCAAAAGTTAAAAATCCAAGCTTTTTTTTTCTGGTCGAAACAATGGCAAAACGGTGCCACCGAATTTATAAGAAACAACAGCATCAAATTTACTTGTTTTATAGGGAATGAAGAAACGGTGCCACCGAATCTAGAAACGACTACATCGAATTTTTCCTGATTCCTAAAGAGTTGCACTTCTTAATTTTGAGAGTGATGGTTGAATTATTAACTATTTGCAGTTAGTTAAAGGGACTTATTTTATCTTTAATCTACTATAAACATAACACATGCTTCTATTTTCTCTCTTAATTTGTTGTTTTTAAACTAACTTGTTCTTCGAGTATTCTTTGATAAGAAATTTAGAACTGTTGATCTTAGTTCTTAGTCTGACTTTAATGAATCCTGAAAATATATTTACCTTGAACCAAACTCAAAATAGTGGGGGCAAAGAATACTAATTGAAGAACAGAATTTAATTACTTGCATCAAATCCTCTCATTCAACCCCATGCATATTCCCCTACACTTACAGCATTACCTAGCAAATGTAAAAGTGACCCAAAACGAGCAGAATAAAGACACAGTCCCCCAGCCGGGTAATTATTAACTAAAAGATAGAATAATGTAGATGTTTTTGCATCTTCAGCCAATTTCCTAGTGGCCTTAAATGATTAGAAAAGTAGCCACTGGATAGGAACCTATTCCATCTTCCATATGTTTTCTCTCTTAAATGAAGACCGGCTAATAATGAAGAAGTTCATTCAACAATATCTAATTATCTGGCACATTTGGAGGTACTGCCAAGGGATTATTAGGCTATTATTTTGAAAGAAGAAAAGGTTTCACGATAACGGGGACTCCATATTGTGGCTGCAAAGTCAAGTGGTTAGCGGGTGCATGCTTATACTCTGGAGAGAGGGAAAAAGAAAATTGTTGAAGCAATAATGAAAGCACCATTTTCATCTCCAGCATCGCTAAATTCTGACCAATGCAACCTCTCGAACCAAATCCAAAGGCGATGAAAGCATTTGGGTGTCTTGCAGCTTGAGATACTCCATTCTTGAACCTTAATGGATTGAACTCGTTTGCATCGTCTCCCCAATATTCTTTGCTCCTATGAATCTTCACAAATTGAATTGTTACACGTACACCTTTTGGAATCATCAAATTCCCTATTTTCATATCTTTTGCTGCCTCTCTATCCGTATCCATTACTGCACCATACAGCCTCAAAGTCTCAAGAAGAACCATGTTCACCTGCAAATTAAATAAAAGCCCCTTCATCAATCATTAATTTAAAACTATATATGCTTTGCTATAGTACTTAAAATTAAGAGGAACATTAATACTGCATATATAGTTTACCTCTTTCAACTTGGTAAGCACATCAGCTTCAGGAATTCCCATCCCACACTCCCTTAGCACCTCTTCCCTAACTCTCTCTTGCCATTCTTGATGTAAGCTCAACAAGAATATGGTCCAACTTAATAGATTGGCAGTGGACTCCTGGCCAGAAAAAAGAATTGTTTGCTCTCATCTATGACTTCATCCATGCGCAACTTGAGATTCTTATTCGTATTTTTTAAGGCATCAATCAGTAAACCAAGTATATCATCTCCATAAGATCCATCTAATAAATTTCTTTTAGAATCGACCGACTCTATTCTCCCCAAAATTATGCGGCTTAGCGAGTTCTTCACTTTCTTCTCTAGCTTCCACATTCGAAGGTTTGACGGTGTAGGAAGAAATCTATTTAAAAATCTAGTAACGAAAAATCAGCCAATAATTAGGCATATTGCATGTAAAACCCCATGAAATCTTAAATGTATGAGGAAAAAAATTATTGTGTGAAGTAATTACTGGTTTCCAGGGACGTAAATGTTTGTACTAGTAGCAAGGCAATGTCTTTCCAGCTCCTTTTGTGCTTTAAAAGCTTCCATTCCTTCAGCATAGCTACTCCCAAAAGCAATATGAGCAATTATATCAGATGTAAGCTTTTTAAACTCTTCACTCACTTGTATCGTGATCGATTGTTGGCCAGCAATAAGAGCCTTATTTTTCCAATTATCAATCATGTCTATGGTCAAAGCTGCAAATGTCTTTGTCATAACCTGGTAGACTCAACACATTAATAATAGATTTAAAAAATAATATTCTTGTATCGGTTCATGAAAAATAGAAATTCAAGTATATATATATATATATATATATATATATATATATATATATATATATATAACCTGGTAGACTCAACACATTAATAATAGATTTAAAAAATAATATTCTTGTATCGGTTCGTGAAAAATAGAAATTCAAGTTTTATATATATATATATATATATATATATATAGTACTAGTTCGTAACAATTAGTACCAAGAGATATTTGATACCTTGAGCTTTTCCACGGTAAAGGCAGGATTGAGAATCGTTCTGTGTCTAACCCAGTCCTGTCCATTCAATTGGCCCAATCCAAGTCCCCCGAATGCTAATAGTGTAGGCGGCATTTCGGGTTTCACAAAGAAACCAGACTTAAATACCTGTCTGGCAATCTCAGGGTCTTCGATAGCAATTGTTGGGTGCAGCCCACGCCAATACAAAAATACCTCTCCTGTATGCAGCATAATAAATGCCTCCATTTAGCATCATTTTACAATTCAAGAACGGAACAAACAAGATAAGTTTATTTTAATTTGATACTCTTTACTATATTATCATTTAATTAAAATATATAAAATTAAAGATAAAAAATTTATTTAATTTTTTATTTTTTAATCAAAATTTTGTATTTAGTTTTTTCCTTTTTGTGTTTTTTATAAATTTTGTAATTAAAAAAAAAAAAACATGATCTATTCTTCCCTATGAATTTATTCTTAAATAAAAAACTGCAATAATCTAAATTTGAAATTTTAAAAAATCTGAATAATTTCTTTCATAAGACTACATCAAAAAAATAAAACAACAATTAATATAAAAAGTTGTATAAAATTTAACAAATATATATTTTTCATTGTTCTTTAATGTTGGTGAGAAGATTAAATTTTTGAAAATATGTATATTTGATTTATATATCTTTATTTATAAACTAATAATAATAATAATAATAATAATAATAATAGGATAAAAAATTATATTTGAATTATTACGTTGTTCTTCTAAAATATTATATAACTTATTTTATTTGAAAAAAATTAATTTTAAATTTTTTAAAAAATTAATAACAAATGGTTGGTTTTATGTGTATAGATGCACAATTAATTTCTAATAAACCAATTATTTTAAAATTTTTTATACATCATGATCATACTTACTGATTTAGAGTGTACAACATAAATCAAAAAATATTTTAAAAAAAAAAAAAACTTAAGTTGTAAGGAATATATTAAAGTTATTAGACTTCAATAAAAACAACCATAAATTTTTTTCGATAAATTTTGGTTATATAAATAATAAGCAAATAAAACACATGAATTCTATTTTTAATTAATTATTAATTTAAAAAAAGATTCAAAATTCAACACATAGAGAAAATAAATTATATTTATTAACAAATAAAATTTCATAAAAAAGAAGAATAAAAACATTGAAGAGAATTTTCATAAGAAACAATAAATTAAAGACATCAATTTTAAATAATAAAAGTAATATAATCCGATATATATTCATGGAAAACTATGAAAAATAACAATTGGTTTTTTATAATTTTTGCACTCAATTAAAAAGAATATTTCTTGAAAAAAAAAGCCAATAATTTAAAAAAAAATGATTCAAAAGTCTATACATGGAGGAAAATAAATTATATTTATTAGTAAATAAAATTATGTAAAAAAGAAGAACAAAAAAATAAAGAGAATTTTAATAAGAAATGACAAATTGAAGAGATCAATTTTAAAAAATAAGTGCAATATAATCCGATATATATGTATATATATTCATAAAAATCCATAAAAAAAAAAACAAAAATTGATTTTTTATAATTTGGCACTCAATTCAATTAAAAAAAAATTGCTTGAAAAAAAAAAGCCAAAAAAAAAAAAAAGACAAGCCTGGTCTTTCTAGTGACAAAAAAATATCTTTTGAAAACATCAATAATTAAAATAAAATATAATGTAAAATTTGCATATGAATGCTAAAAAACAAACAAAAAATCATGAAAATGTCATCATCTAAAATTATAAAAAACACTACAAAGTGAATAGTGATTTGTGAGAGAATGAATAGTTACAACCTCAATTCTTTTAGTTATTTTTGTTAATAAATAAATTATTTTGTTGTATATGATCTGAGATTGAAATTAGTGTTTCATTGAATCAAATTGATCCATATCCAAGTAATTTTTGAGTAATTATCAAAACTAGGACGTATAGGATTCACACTGAAGAAACATTATATAGGAGCGGGGAAAAAAAATTCCTCAAACAATATTAAAAAACCCAATTACGTGAAAGTTAACATAACATGCAAAACTCAAAACTAAAGAGGAGGACGAAATAGACTGACCATATTCAGCAGACCATTTATGAAAGTACGGGAGAACTTTCTGAGAGATGTCATTGCAGTTTGTATCTAGGATCATTTCATATGCAGCTTTCCTCAGGCTCTCCATTTCACGAAGAGAACCATAGAAGATGTTGTAGGGCGGTCCTTTGATTCCTTGCTTTTCAAAGCTTTTAGTCAAAGCATATGGCCTCCACAAGACATTCCAACAAAATTGCCAAATCATTGCAATAAGGACGGCCAAAGCTGCCATAACAATCCCTAAGTAGCTGTAACTCATCATTGTAATGGGAGAGGGATCAGCCAGCCTGTGTGAGGGATTGGCTAGAAGCTACAGTATATGGTTGGATTGTGTATAAAAGAGTGTTGAATGACTGGACAATTTTATATTACTCGTAAAGTAGTTGGTGTATAAGAAAGAGATAGACACAAAGAATAAAAACAAATAAGAGAGAATTTATTAAAAAAAATTGAGTCTAGATGGAAATTCTTTTATCATTTTTTACGAGTCCCGTTATAATTTTCTCTTTCTTTTTATGTTTATCTATTTCATCATAAGTGAGCTCATAATATATATATATATAGTAGTTAGGCTTTAACTATTTTAAAATTTCTCTTGAATAGCATGCTTTAGTAACGATCTAAAACTCAAATTTTTACTAACATTATTTTACTAAATGGCGTGAAAGGACAAGGTGGGTGATTCATTAGTCAATAGACTCTATAATTATCATTGAATAAGATAAGATTTACATTCCATAATTTGAAAAGTGGTGATAGGATAATGATTTTTTCACTGAGATTCAGATTCCATAATATGATTCATTATTTAATATATTCTATAAATATTATTATAGCATTAAAATTTGATAAAATTTACATTTTATTTTTTGAAAACCTTCCATTATAAGAAATGTTACATCACTTAGTAAAAAAAAATATTATAAAAAATATAAGTAATCCTAGTATTGTTATAAAATAATAAATATCCATATGAATGTCTATATTCATTTTATATCTCCATTACTCATAATCATTAATGTAATTCGATTCATCATTCAATATAGAAATTCAAAGGGTGGTGCATTTGATTCAACCATTTATGCATCTTTAATTATTCATAATTCCTTTCAATTCTCTTTCTAATCTTGAAACCTATAGATATGTTTGATTGTTTATTAATTTGAGATGTACTTTTTTTTTTTTTTTTGTAGAGATTGAGAGAGTTTTTTAGAGTTGCTATCACTTGTATTCATTTTATTTCATAGTGAATTTATTTTTCTATCATCTTTTTCTTTAATTTTATTGTTGTTAGTTTTTGTTTATAATATTTTCGTAGCACAAATCTCTAACCAACCGAGATAATAGATCATAGGGTATGTATCTATCAAAAAACTCATTCGTTTATTTCAATTATTGGATTGCTCTACCAAAAGATCTAATTATTTAATATATTCTATAAATATTATTATAGAATTAAATTTGATAAGATTTGCATTTTATTTTTTGAAAACCTTCCATTATAAGACATTATCTTTTCCTAGCATTATCTTTTCCCAATAATGTAAGAGACATTATTGTAAAAAAAATATTGATCTTCCCCATTTGTAACTGATCCCATATTTAGATATTTGTGTAGACCAGAGTTATTTTTTAGAAATTACATAGTTTTTGAAAAATTAGAAAATTAACAAAAAAGAGAGAAGAAAAAAATAAAAAAAATAGAAGAAAAGGAAAAAGAAAAGAAAAAAGGGAGAGACAAATAGAAAAAAAAAAAAAACTAAGACTTAGGGTCTAATTAAAAATACATGGGAAGTTGGAACTTAGAAAAATTGAATTAGGAGTTCAATTTAAAAAGAGTCTAATTGAAAATGAGATTTGAAGAGAAAATAAAAAGAAGAGCGGAAGAATTGAAAAATAGAAGGAAAAAAGAGTAAGTTATGGTTTTTCTCAAAAATCCTAACAATCCACACTATATAAGCATCACTTTCTTCCTCACACAAAAGAGGAGGCCATTTCATTCATCTTTTCCTAGAGAAAAAGAAACCTAGAGAGAAAGAAAAACTCCATTCATTCATCTCTCTCAAAAATACCACCATCAACCATCGAACAGAACCTCTCACTCATAATCCATGGCCAACACAACCTAAGCTAAACAAATCCTTCCAACCCCTCCCCTTCAAGTCGCCGGCTAAGAACTAAGAAAAACCCCTAAAAACCTATCGACTAAGCTCTCTTCCATTCGATCGCCCTATTACAACTTCCAATATCTCTCAAGCCACTCCTCTACCAAAAACAACACTATCTAATAGCTCCAGCAGTTTCAAGCAACCTCTATCGGTGACCAACAACTTTAGTAGCCTTAAAACCCATCGGTAGCCATTAAACCAAGACAACCTCACTACCAACAGATTGATGTTTAAAGGAAGATAAAAAAAAAAAATCACCTTTATAGAGATCTAAAATAGAAAAGAAAACTTCTTGGAAATTGAAGTAGACATCTTAAAATTTCTATATTGAACTTAAATATTCAAATCCATTTTGGTTTATGCTATCAAAGTAGAGTGTAAAGTCGGGTCAAAAATTTGGATCTAGTGATAGTTTGGAATACTACTTTTTTTTTTAACATAGACGGTACTTTAAAATTTTATTAAATAAAACATGAAAAATTACAAGGAGGGGACAAAACCAACCTAGCCTAACATTTTAGGAGGAAAAGATAGCCTAAACCCCTAAATGAACATTGTAGAGATATTCGAAAAAGGTCTAGAGGAGAGCTAAAAACTAAAGAGAACCTAGACAACGTGAAATAACACATAAACAAAAGAAAAACTTCTTCATCATCCTAATTAATGAGAAGCTATTGTTGCCACATCTTGAGAGCCAATTATCGTGGATGAAAATTATACAATCCTAGTTTGTTATCGAAACGACAAATCGACAGGATAGGGAAAGTTTAATAGCCAAAAGGAGTACCTTGCATGATGAGTGCTGGAATGCCCAATCCACAAGCCTATCCGCAACCATATTACCCTCTCTCAAAACTTTTGTAAAACAATACCAAGATTAATACTCACCCAAGTAAGATCCGAAAATGTAACAAAGCTATCAAGGACAAGAAAGGGATTGAGACAAACAACCAATTACCAATAAAGAATCAATATCTATAATGTCAATTACCAATAGCTTTATGTAGGAACAAGTGTTCTCTAGTTTCCTTTTATCTAGACATGTAACATTGACATTTAGACACCAAATAAATTCCACATGACTAAATATTAACCTCTACTACCACATTATTTTGCGAAGTTTTCAAACAAAGACACCAATTTTTTTGGATAGCCATGTGTTTCATAAACTTCGCCACCATTTGGACATCAATCATTCCTCCTCGAGAAAACAAAACAAAAATCAACTACTGATCGACAAACAATAATTGACGAAGTTTTTTTATTTTTATTCTTCTTTTTTTCTAAAGATGAATGGTTGAAACGTATTGGTCCTTATGTCATCCACCTATTTCAGAGTAAATTAAGAACGAATTAGTCTTCCAAAAACAATTATTTAATTTTTTTTATCAAATATGAATTATACTTAATTTAATATTATTTTTATTTCACAAAATATTTTTTTCTCATCAACCTTTTCATATTTTTTTTATTTCATAAACAAATTAAAAATAACATAAAAAATAAATTACAAATAAATTTAAAAATATAAGGATTAAATAATTAATTTTTAAAATAAAAAAAACTAATTAATTTGTTTCTAGGAACGAGAAGGACTAATTTATAATTTACTCACCTATTTCATATTAATTTATTACTTTGACGCGCCAAAAAAAAAAAACCTCTAACAAGATATGTTTTCTCCATTAATTTTAAACTAAACTGATTAAACTTTTTTTGAATTTTAATCTATTTGAAAATCAATTTTTAAACTTTTAATTTTAGATTTAACTTCTCTTAAATTTTATTTTATTTTTTATTTTTTAATTCAATCTATCTTTTAGTTTTTTTTTGTCAAAAACAGCAATCACATAAATAGCTTCATAAAGCAAATCATTTAGTAAGATTATCTGAACTCTTCAAAATATTTGGAAACATTTCTGATTATTTTTTTCCCGATATTCTATATTTTTAATAGTTAAAAAATGAAATATATATATATATATACTTTCTTATCTTTAAAAGATTTGAGATTTTTCTTGAAAATAGATTGGATTTTTTTCAATGTGTGTTCTAGACGTAAGTTAAAAACACCAATAATTGAATTTTTCAAATGGAAGAATGATATTAAATATCATAAGATTGATTAAATCTCAAAAAAAAAAAAAACACAAATTAAGTGGAGGTCAAATTTGAAATTAAAAATTTAATGTTTAATTTTTAAATGAACTAAAATTCAGATTGGACTCATTTAACCATTTACTTCATTTAAACAGTACGGTTTCATCTTCAGTATTTATAGAGCACACTGGAGCTAATAGCCTTGCACTCTTCTTTTACCACTATACTCTGCATGCTGTTCAAAAAATGAATAATAAGTTAAAGCAGATGGGTTTGATTCCACTTTTCCTATTAATGGTTTTCGTGCTGCCAACTTCGGCAGTATACAAATTCACCGACCGGAAGATCTTTTTGCCAATTAGAGTGCACGTGTTTTGCTTTGATCAAAACTTTGATCTCCTTCCTGTCGGAGACGGCACAGGTTTTGAAGTTTTTGTTCAGGTCTAGACCTCTCTTGCTAATTAAATATTGATCAAAAGCAAATGACATGCATCTGTTCGTATAAATTAATTAATTACATGCTTTTGACGGTCCCAAGTCAGACTAGGTTTGAGTGCATATGCAAAGGACCCTGAAGCTGCGGCTAACTCGCTTGTGCCGTTGCTTGATGAAGCGGAAAGTGTTGTGCCTGAAGACTTGTGCCATTCTGGCTGGTTCTCAGGAAGGTTCTTATATGGGGTATGTAATGGTCTGTTTTGTGGACATTTTATGGACTTTCAAATTAGCAGATTTTAACAGAAGTAATATTACAATAAAGAAAAAAACTGTGAGTACAAATCCTTTAATAGAAAGAAAATTAATTGAATATAAACATTCAAATAGAAAATATCACTAAGCACGAACACCAATTTTATTATTAACTTACACTTTTTATTATTGATAGTTGTTGTATATTTTGCAGATTGCAATGAACTACCGACTTGAAAAATCGGGGAACCTATATTGAGAAACGTTTGGAGTGATTGATCAAGGTGGTGGATCTGTCCAAATGGCATATGCCATTTGTAAGGAGAATGCTGCAAAAGCACCAATGGTACCTGATGGACAAGATCCATACGCAGGGAAATTTTTTCTAAGGGGAGCTGAATACTACGTCTATGTTCACAGGTTCTTCTCTTCCTTAATTATTGATTTATTAACTTCCATTTTTTTATTGAAATATTACCTTTATTTAAAAATAAAAAATATACATTAATTATTTTCATTTTATAAAAAAATAACTACTTTATTTATTTTGAAAATAATTATTACTATTTATGTGGTGACATGTGTTATCTAAAGGGTAAAAATATAATTTTTTGTTTAAAATCAGTTTTTTTTTCAAAATTTTATTATGTTAAAATAATTAATAAATTGTTAATTTAAAATATATATTTTTAACTTAATAAAAAATTGACAAAAACTGTTTAATTATTTTAATTATTTTTTAAAAATTATTAATTATTTTAAGTTACCAAAAATTTGAAAAAAAATTATTTTAAACAAGAAATTACATTTTTACCATTTAGGTGACATGTACTGCTGCATGAATGTGTTTTACCTATTAAACAACTTGATAGGTCACTCTACTGACATGCCATGTGCAATCTTGTGTGTCAAATGGGTTGTTAGTAGTGATTTTTTTATGATTTTTATTTGTCTCAAAAATATTTTCTTATATTTTTTATATGTTCTAATAAAAGAATTTTCACTATGTTCGATCTATACGATACTCTGAAGTATCAAATCAAATAACTATTTTTATAGTCTAATGTTTTGTTTAAAAGTTATTGGATTTTGTGAATAATGCAGTTACTTGAACTATATATGGGTTATTGGCAGCTCGAGCCGAAATTTTGAAGGTTTTTAGAAACTCTAGCAATCCGTGCATAGTAAGCGGTTATAATACTATGTTAAATTAATCCATTTTAATCCAATCAAAAGAAGAGGAAGGAAAAAAATACTTTATTTTAAGATCACCCTAAAAAAAATGATTTTATTATACTCTTTCAGTCTTTTTTAAAAAAAAAAAAACAGAGTTAATTTTTTCTTCATAATATGATAGTTCAACTTTTTTATTTATTTATTTTAAGTAAGGAATATTTTTAAGCTAGTTTTTTTCCATTAAGATTAAGTCTACTATTTCGACCTAATAAAAAATAAAGTATTAAAAAATTTAGCTTTCCCAGATATAAAATTGAAATCCCAATAACAAAATCAAAAGTATACTATCTTAACCCTTTATGTTATACGGGGTTCAATTTGATGTCACATTAGTCCTAAAACTACATAAATTAGGACCAATAAATATTTTATATTTTTCTCAAAACAAAAAACATAATTGGTGCAATTTTAACTCCATGGATTGTTATTTCTATTATATATAATTTTATTCTTTAATAGATGTTATTATCCCAAATTTATATATTTTAAATGTCTTATGGTCCCAATATTCTTTGGTTTTATTTCTTATGTATGGCTTCTTTATTTTTATTTTTATTTTTTGGTTTGACAGTAAATATATTTTTGGATTAATTTTATCTATCAATCAAGTTTAATTAAATATCTTTCAAACAGTCTTAAGAGCATACTCTTCACATCGGTCTAGTGTATTCAAATAAATTTAATAAATTTTTTTAACTTCTAGTTTGAAGATTACACTTTAAAAATAAAGAAAGGGAACATACCTCCTTAACTACTACCTCATGAATTCTGCATTTGTTAAAAAACGAATAAAATGGTTTTTTAGTTTCAAAAATTAATTAATTAATATATTAGTTGGTGTTAATCAAGTTAATTTAATATTACTATGTTTCAAAAAAAAATTCTTTTTTTATCAACATTTTCATATTATTTACTTTTTTTATATTTCTTAAAACCGAAAAAAAATAAATTAAATATGAAATTGACAAAATGGATTAATTAATTAGTTTTTAAAACTAGAAAGATTATTTAATTTATTTTGTAAAACTAGAGGGACTAATTTATAATTTACTCTATTTTAAGTCCCAAGCATGATATCATATTTAGGTAAATATAGTATTCACAAATGAATACTACTTTACCTAATATAAATTAATATTACTTTTGTAACTAACATATCCTTTTGTATATACAATTGGAGAAACAATTAACACATCTATAAAAGATTTTTAATTTAAATAATTTATTCTTAATTAAAATTTAGAAAAAAAAAAAAAACCGTGGTAATTTGCTGCCGCTTCCCATGTGAGTTCTGAAGTCAAGCTACTGTCTCGTTTTTTTTTTTTTTTTTTTCTTCTTCCTCCTCTTACATTGCTCCCCATTCCTTTCATTAATAGGAAGTTCGAGGAGGAGAAAATTTTGATTTTTGTGTTTAACCTCCCTTTTTAAAATCAAATATTAATATATTTTTTTCGTTCCAAGTAACATTTTCAACCAAAATTATAATATTAGATACTCTTTTTGTAATTTAATTTATATAGACATCCTCTTTTAATCTTATTTTTTTTTCCACAGCAATCATATTATAAGATTTTTGTTCATTTGCAAATATACTTGAAAAACTGATTTGATGATATTTTAAATCTTTGAAAAAAAGAAGAAGAGAAGAAGAAGAAAGAAGTGCGGGAGTGGAAAAGAAAATAAGAAAGGCAAAGAAAGGTACATCTTCTTCGTGGTTTCTGTAATGGTTATTGGTGACGGACTAAGACTAGGACTAGTTGTACCGCTGTGTACCAAACCCATAAACATTATTAGTCCTTTTCATTTACTGCTTGCTTCAACAAACAATTTTTATGTTCTTCTAGATTCTGTTCGTTTGATAAAAAATAACTTGCAATAAAAAAAAAATCAATTTTGAAATAGCTCTTTTTCAGAAAATTATCTTTTTAAAAAAATATATATTTTTTTAACTTTTAATGATTACATAAAAACTACTGAAAAATATATTTCAGCGCTTATTTACTACACAAAACTGAAATACAAAAATAGGTTTTAATTGTTATATTAACGAGTTTTGAGAAGACTTCAACAAGATATATTTACAATTTCACAATATAAGATGCATTTGGAAAAATTTAATAAATTTTTATAAATACGGACTCTAAGATTTAAATTCAAAAAATCAAAATATATTTTTAACTATTAAATCAATTCATCAAAACTACTTGAGACAAAATCAAGTCAATATTCATATTCAGTAAAAAAAATTTCTAAATAATCCTAGCATTGTTATTTTAGTAACCTAATTAAGAATTCTTTTTTTTTTTGAAATCGAGTTGATAATTTAGTCTAAAAATAGTTTTACAAATTATTAATTTTCATTTATAGATAATTATTCATTTGATTTCAAAAGATTAATGTTGGAATAATTTATAACAAATTATTGACTACAATTATCAACAAAATTTTACAACTAATTAAAATTAGTCAAACATTATTGATTTAGTTACAAATGAATAGTATTCAAAAAATAATGTATTTATTAATGAATTAATTATTTTTAAATTTTTCACTAATGATTGCGAGTCTTGTAATAATCATTTTCAATCATTTAAGTATGGTTTAGGTGGTGTTTAAGATAATGGTAAAAAAATAGAGATAAATAATTGAAATATTTATTATAGAAATAATTTTAACATGTATAAATAGTTTTTAAGAATATTTAATGTATTTATAAATCAAAAAATTAAATTTTAGTAGAAATAGACAAAAATAATTAGATAATTGATAATAATTGATAAGAAATAATTAAAAATTAATTTGATATATTTTAAATAAAAAGAAAACGAGAGAAAAAAATTGTTAAAATATGTCAAGAGAGAGAGAGAGGTGAGTAATGCGAAAACAAGATAGCTCGTGAGAGAAAAGAAAATTTTTTTTTTTTTTAACTAGAAAAACACTTTTTCAAAAATACTCTATCGTTTTTGTTGACTAAAAATCATTTTTCATTAACTTTTTTCCAAAATGCGAAACAAATACCAAAAAATGAAGAAAAAATGAGAAAACAAGTTCCTAAAACTTATTTTCTCCCAAACAAACACGAGTTTTAGTAACTATTAATTACAACCACACCATTTGTTTTGATTTTTCTCTAAAGACTTACCAAGACTTTTTCTCGTTCAATCCAAAAGAGAAAAGAAGATAAGAGAAGAGAAGAGAAGATAGCCAAACAACGAGTACAAGAAAAAGTAATAATAAATCATCAAACACCAAAGATGAACAAATCTGTAATTTATGTCTTTTTTTTTTTTAATAAAGTCATACATATTATGATCATAATTAAGTTTATCACGCACCTAAAGTTTAAGGGTGGCATACTCTCTAACATATTTATGAACAATTAATGTATGCTTTAAGGTTCGTAGTCGGCTTTTTGCTTTCTAATCTACTTCCTCTAGTATAATTAGGCATAGATAGCTTTCTCAAACTCATCATAACCGAGTAGCTCTCGATTCTTTTTTTTTTTTTTTTAACTCTTGGTGCTTCATGCACCACTATAAAGCGACGTTTTTAATGAGGTAGAGGATGGTAGTCTAGGCATGACTTTTATCCTAGTTCAAATTGATAGCCTCAAAATATTATTCTACTTGTCAAAATAACTTATCAACTTCTTTGGCCTCCTACTTGTCAATGTAGTGTTGTGGTCTCAACACTTTGAATTTTATTGTGTCCTTCAAGACCACACCATTGGATATAGCTTCTCTACAAATTATCGAATGTTTCTTAAGTTGTTCAATGGTCCGCTCATCATGGACTCCTCATGTTGTGCCAACCCTTTTTTGGTATAATTAATGAAAGCATCCTTTTAGCGGTGTTCTTTTTGGCATTCCTCTTGACAGATTTTATTCAAGTTTAAATAGTGAAGATTGCCTCATATAGACCTTTCATGCCTAGCGCCTCTTTTTCATCATCTCTCACTATCCCATCGAATCTCTTATTAAAGTCGGCAAGGTGCTCACTTGCCTTTAAGAGATGCTCTTCAAAGAAAACCATCAAGCATGAGAGTTCCCCCTATCTTTCTTTGGTTGAGGAGGTAAAGTCTCCTTCTTAGTGTCTACGGCATTATTGACAATACCGAACTAGATATGCTTACTTATTGAACACTTAGATTACGGCCAAACTTGATATCACTTATCGAGCACAAGCAAGCTTTGATACCATTTATCAAAGTTAACAATGTTTTGATATCACTTGTCACAAACTTGCTCTTTTTTTAAGCTCACTTTTGTTACTTACTCGGTTCTCACTTAAACCAAACCAAGTCGGCCTTTCTCTTGTACTAAGTTGTGAAACAAAAAAGACATTGAAGAGAGATATTAAGAAAAACTTCTTATATTGCTTTCAAATGCTTGTAACTCTTAGACTATACTTTCTTAGATCCTCACTCCTTTGGATCATTCTCTATTAGATGATCTCTTGGATGGTTTAATCAAATAAAAACTTCATCTATTCACAAGCCTCTTAATGGATTCATATGATCAATTTGATCTACCGATTACAATCAATTATATAGAGTTTTCCTATCTAGATATTTACAAGAAACTCACTAAACATTTACATACTAAAATAGTTTACAAACTCTCTAAAATTATTTACGATATATCTAAATTTCTCTTAGATAGTTTAGAGGCTTCTTTTATGTTCTAGAGACTTTCAAATGCTTTCAAATCTATTTAGCATTCTCTATTAACCTCCAAAAACGTTATTTTTTTGTGTGTGAAGCATAACATTTAGCTATATTTTGCCTCTTCCTAGTTAGTATTAGACCAATTGGATGTAGTGTGGGAAAGGAAAAGCCCTAGAAACAACAATTACAATAGAATAATGACTGAATTGAGATATAATTGAATTTGAATTAAGTTAATAGAATTTTTGGTTCATAAGAAA